ATGAACCAAATCAAGTGGACAGTTACAAACAATACAGATACAACAATAATGAGGAAAGGAAAACAATTTTTTTTATTATTAAAAATATAGAGAACGAACAATTCTTATTGGAACCATTCCTCTAGTGAATTCCATCGGAACTTCTATAATAAATGGACTATACAAAATTGTGAGCACTCAAATATTGCAAAGCCCCGGTATCTATTATCAATCAGAATTGGACCATAACGAAATTTCGGTTTATAACGGCACCATAATATTTGATTGGGGAGGAAGATTATAATTCAATATTGATCAAAAAGCAAGGATATGGGCTAGTGTGAGTAGGAAACATAAAATATCTATTCTATTTTTATCATCAGCTATGGGTTCAAATCTAAGAGAAATTCTTGAGAATGTTTACTTGCCTGGAATTTTTTTTTGTCTTTCATGAATGATAAGGAGAGAAAAAAGATTTTAGATCAAAAGAAAATGTCATTTTAGAGTTTTATCAACAATTTTCTTATGTATGCCGAGATGGTATCTTAAAATGAGATTTTGAAGATGTATGGACAAAAAGGTCAATTATTGAACCTTTAGCAAAGTTTAGAGAATTTGATTTTGAACTACTAAAACTATTGATCCAGTTGATGGAATGATCATGAAGAAAAAAAAAAAAGTGAGGATCTTGGGATTATGATTGAGTAAGTTTGTCAACCTTATTAAGATTGAGTAAGTTTGCGAACCTTATTGTACACATGAACATTTATTTCAATGAAGTACCTAAGCCACAAACCTACTAAATGAGTTCAGTTGCTCATGAAATTTTAGGACAATGCTCAATATGACATTATAATGTTATGTACGAAATTGGAAGACTTCATTTAAATTCCATAAAACATAACCTTTAACTTAAAACACAGCCATGGACTTACGTGTTTCGAAAACATCTTTAAAACGACACAACAAAAGACTCGAAATAAAATAAATAAGCGTTTAAGTTTAAAACATCCTATTCTATCCTAAGTTTAAGAAAATAAATGCCACCATCCTATGCATGTGTCATGATCTTGAGTTGCGATGTCGTCGTCAGTCGTACAGGAATGCATTGCCTTAACCAGAAAAATGTAGTAGCACATGGCTTGAGTATTTAAAGAAATACTCAGTAAGCAACCCCACTATTAGGGTTAAATGCAACAATCACATGCAATGAAATGATGGGATTTATCTTTCATTTCGTTTTGTTTCGTTTCATTTCATTTCGTTTCGTTTTTCCTATAGTGTAATCCTAATAGGTAATCGTGGACGTGTACCATATACTCTACACGCAGCCCATACGTGCGAGTATGGGCTCACCAGCTAGTTCGCACACCGCTGGGCCACTGTCTCTAGCCGGTGGGCATGCTTTGGGGGCCCACCAGGACCCGTTAAAACTAAAACCGTCACGGCAGCGCTATGCAAGGCATAACGATCGTTGTCCTGCCATTTAGATGTACGCGTCTGTACCCTCGTGATGGGATAGGGGTATCCCCCCAAATGCATGATCACACAATATGCATGAGGTCCCACTAGTCCTACAGTCATCATTTAATGAACATAACCCCGTGTCACATTTTCATGCTTACATGTCATTCTCATTCTCATTTTGTTACATATCATACATATTTCTAGCGGGGTTATGTATCATGCAATTTACCGTATTTCATGTCATACAATTCATTCAGTTACATTCCAATACTCATACAACAAGCCATAATCGTACAAGGGCACACATTATCACATGCATTCATATCACATCAACTAAGCAGCATAAATAACATACATTCACGTTCACATGATTTCGTACTTAAGCACAATAATCTAGCATACAATGTATCATATCATAACCAAGTCATAACGTAAACACTTCATAGTCATATCGTTCTCTAACTTACTATAGCCTTAATGTTCTTATACCTATCACAGACATATCATTACGTGACGTACCTTAGTCATATCGTCACAAGAACGTACCCTAACGCTATCGTTCTATCAATCTATCACAAACCTATCCCTTTCTACCCATAACCTAACCGTATTCTTTCATCAATCTCTCCTATCCATAGCACTCTGGTATGTAACCTTCTAACGTTTCATGAACGTATATTACTTCTATCGTTACATTTCGTTTTGTGCATCCTTCTCGTACCCTATCTCAAACATATCCTTGAGCACATCGTACCATAATTATTGTCATACAAATCACATATTATAACATAACATAACATATAGGAAGCATATCGATCCACAGACAATTCACACATATCAATATATATGACACATACAGAACCACAAGGCACGTGCCAACATCAAATATAACCATGCCGATAGTAAGGTCACTTACCTGGCCAGCTTAAGTCGTTGTCACGAATATATCTTTAATTAAAGTTCGATTCCGTCCTTTGAAATCCAAGTCAACCTATATGAGTCCATGACATTAGTTTCAGGTTTGAACTCTACAACATTATTTCTCTAATTTACATTGGTCCATTGTTAAAAGTCTGAAATGTTATATATCTATAATTATATTTTTATTAAAAATCTTATTTTTCATACTGTTGTATAAGAAAGTAGATATAACTATATTTCAAGTTATTCTGGACTTTACTCCCCTATGTAAACTCAATGTATTTACCCTGTGTTTACTTTTTCCCTCTATATCTAGTATGTGGTTTTTAATTCCCTAATTTTTCTTTTTATCTGTTTCCTTTTAATTCTGTTGTCATGCCTTCCAAATTTCGAGTGATATCTGTTTCCAAATCTTTCCTTATCTCAGTGTTTCCTATTCAAAAGTTTTCTTGGTCATTCTATCTTTAATCTATTCATTTGGCTCCTGATAAAAATTTAATCTAATATTACTAATCTGACATGATTGACTATAGAATCGTATAAATGATGGACATTTAGTTTCTAACTCAGAGCTAGATCATTGTAATAATTCAATGAAGATCTAGTTGTGATTTCTAAAAAATATAGGATAAAAGAAAATAAAGATTTAATATATACCTCGTTGATCAGATCTATCTTCACGTAAATCTCCAGTGAATCTCAATTGGGTAAAGGTCATTCTCATTTTTTTTTATCAAGTGATTTTCTGTTTCTTTTTTTTTTGCATTACTGTCGAGCATAAGGATAGGTTTGAGGAGAGATAATTGTGGGAAGGGATGAGAGGTTAGCTGAGAGGAGTGGGGAAATGTTTTTTTATTTTTTTTATTTTTTATTTTAATTAATTAATTAATTATTTTTATTTTTTATTATTATTATTTTAACCATTTTTATAATTATTTTTATTAGTTTATTTCTTTATATATTTTTGGGCTATTACATAAGGCTTGTCGATCCTTGAGCTTCCACTGTTCCATGGTCATGGTATCCGGTTTCACCCCCAACAGGGGTTCGTGAAGATCTTTCTAGACAGATAATCTTCAATCTGCATCTTCTAGAAACCGAAATCGGGTCCATCGAACTTCTCGATTCCAATCTTTGAACTTTCCATCTTCACAAATCATGGTGACTTCCGCCTTGCTCTGATACCAGTTGTTTGGATCGATACCAGTTGTTAGCTTTGATACCAATTGTTAGGATCGCTCAACAACGCACACACTCGATCAAGATGAACACAAAGAACAGAAGAGAGACAATACAAGGAGGAATATTGGCTAAAGATTTTATTATTGATGACTGTCAGGTATGTACAACAAGAGAGAATACAAAGAATGAAGAGGAGTACATTTTGAGAGCACTGCCCGAGTATATATATGGTTTCAATTTACTAAATATAGCTTCCAAAGATTTAAACCTACGAGATATAATCAAACAAATATATCTCTATCAAATCTTTACCAATCTCTACCATATATATCTCTATCATATCTTTACGAAATATCTTCCAAATATATCTCTACCAGATTTAGGCATCAGACTCCATATCCCAACAGAGTTGTCACTTAACTAACAACACCTTAGATATTCATGCCATTTTGTACAGAGTTTGGACTCCAAATGTTGTGGGTATCAAATAGGATGTATCTTTTTCCCTGTTTATGTTTATACACAGCTCCGTGTTTATTTACAAATTCAGAACCAAGTATTCTATTTTTGTCTCAGTATTTTAGAAGTGAATCCAGGTCTCAATTGGATCGTTATTAATGGTATCAGAGCTAGACACCGGACGATGTGTTAACCTTCTCGCTGTTCCCCGAAGGGGGTAGACATGAGACAGTGTGCCAATTAAGGACGCTGGCCCCAAAGGGGGTGGATTTGGTGGTGGTTCCACATCGATCGGAGAAAGGAACGAGTGCCAGTGATGACGCTGGGCCCCGAAGGAGGATGGATTGTGATGTCTCACATTGTTTGGGTAGGAGAACAAATCACCGTTTACAAGGGTGTGGAAACCTTCCTCTAGTAGATGCGTTCTAAAACCTTGAGGGGAAGCCCGAAAGGAAAAGTCCAAAGAGGACAATATCTACTAGCGGTGAATCTAGGTTGTTACATATATTTGGGGCTACAGGTGGTAGTGACTGTAGTGGCTCTCTCCCTAGATGGCTCTTTAATGAGTACTGCTGAAGTTCGAAGTCCTAAGGGTGGAATTGGAGGTCTTATTAGTCTCAAGTTTTGGAATTCTGAGTTGGAAACAAAAGGTTTAGTTTGTCAACCATTGTATATAAGCCCCACAGGTTTGTTTTTGGTCCTTTTCCAAAGCCAATATGAAAAATTATTGGTAAGGTTATTGTATTGGAGTTAATATATCTGACTACAACAACTTACTGATGGTAAGTGTCACGACCCGATTTTTCGAGGCTTCGAAAAATCGAATCGTGACTAAAAAGACGAAATCGAAAACAAACAAAAGGAAAATAAAAGAAAAGAAAAGCAAAGTAAAAAGATAAAAATACAATTGAATTAAAACAAAAGAGAGAAATTTTGTTTGTTAATTATTACAAAAGAAATTGCAAATATAAAATGAAATACACAGACTCTAAAAGACCGAAAAGGGACTGACGCTCCGGAACGACCCCCTCTGTGACTGTACAGCTCTCAAACGCTCCTCTACCTCGACCAGCAGCCAGCGAACACCTGAGAAAAATAAAGGAGAACGGGATGAGTATAAAAATTATACTCAGTAAGCCACCTACTTATAGACTCTCTTCGCATCTTAATTTAACAGAACTCCCACGGTTTCCTAATTCGGTTCTAGGACATCAGGTTCTAACCTTAGTCTCTTGAGGCTTGCCCCTTGGGTTTCATCGGTTCATCGTCCTTTCATTAGTCACCTAGAGGTTTCTTATGCCAAGCTAATGTGGTCGGTATCTCTCTATGAGGTGCTACCTCTACATGGCTATCTAGGACTACATGGTACCTAGCCTAGGGGTGAGCTGAGTACCCCTACGCCCACATAGTCCTCCTATGGGGGGGTGCGACCCAACCCGTTCCCATGCAGCTAATGGGTTGTACGACGTGGGGACACATTTCCCATGCGAAATGGCTAAGAGCAGTAAGGACTGATCGGGGACCCTTGGTCCTCCCACGAAGCTATAGATACCGTTCTCACACTAGCAATTTATGAACACTCCTGAGGTACCTTGTTGCCATGGTAATCAGCTAAGTAACTAGGGGAAAGTTAAGTCTGGCTAAAGCGACATATCGCTCCTAACGGTAACCCCCTAAGCTTATCTTAGAAATGGGCACTAGAAAATAACGGGGTGTGCATGCAACCGTCTTCTAACATCCTAATATTCATGCAAACTAAGCACGCCGGCTCAACGGGGCGATGGCCTCCATCCAGCACACAAAACACGAAGTTCGCGCTCAATGGGGCGAATTCATCCATCGAGCACCTGAAACACAGAATACACAATTCCAACATAAATTAAACGCATGCAGACGTATAACGGAAGCTGATATGAACCAAGAGACATCAATCATACAATATGCTTCAATAAAGATGTGAAGAAAAGGTTGTCAAAATTATCAAAAGATGTTTCAATTCATGCTACATTGAAGAAGAATAAAGTTTGATTGTTGTAAATTTTGGGTGGGTTATAATTTAGAGTTATTGTGTTTTAAGACTTTTTATTTAATTTCGGTTACATTTACATAATGGCTAATTATGGCCATAAAGTGTGAATGTTACAACTTTTGGAATGTCTTTAATAGTTTCATTTTGAGGCTATATAAAGCCATCTATGTTGTATTTGTAATGAGACTTAGAAGATATATCAAAAGAAGCATTTGTGCTTTTCTTTAGCCAATGGCTAAGTTTCTTTGCAACTCTATGTAGTTTAGGTTGCATGTAGAATCATTCAAGCTCGATATGATCAATCTTGCTTGTGGAGTGATTCGAATCTCAAACAAGTGTTTGAGATTACTTGATCAACAAGAATCATTGAAGCTAGACATGATCGATCTTGCTTCTGGAGTGATTCGAATCTCAAACAAAGTGTTCTTGGCTTGAGATATTCGATCGACAAGGTAATCCGAATCTTATTCCCCTTGTAGTTGATTCCTTATCTTATCATTTAGTATCAGAGCTTCAGGCTCAAGATCGGATATATGTTTCCTTTGCGTTTCTTTTCAATTTGTTTTTTTCTTTTTAGTTTTTAATCGACCCAAAGTTCAAAATTCAATCTTCGCTATATTTACAATTTTGAGAGGTGAGAATGAGAGCTTCATTTGTGTAAACAGAGTGGCCTAAAAAAAAATCCTTGAGTGTTGTATACACATGAGAGATTGTTGTGAGGGCCTTTGTATTTTCATATCTTATGTTTTGCAGCAAAGTTTCACAAATAGATTCGAGGACGAATCCTCTTGAAGAAGCGGAGAATGATATGAACCAAGAGACATCATTCATACAATATACTTCAATGAAGATGTGAAGAAAATGTTGTCAAAATTATCAAAAGAGGTTGCAATTCATGTCACATTGAAGAGGAATGAAGTTTGATGGTTATAAAGTTTGGGTGGGTTACAATTTAGAGTAATTTAGAGTTATTGTATTTTAAGACTTTTTATTTACTATTTAGGTTACATTTACATAATGGCTAATTATGGTCATTAAGTATGAATGTTACAACTTTTGGAATGCTTTCATTTTGAGGCTATATAAAGCCATGTATGTTGTATTTGTAAGGAAGACTTGGAAAATATATTAAAAGAAGCATTTGTGCTTTTTCTTAGCCAATGGCTGAGTTTCTATGCAACTCTATGTAGTTTAGGTTGCATGTAGAATCATTCAAGCTCGACATGATCAATCTTGCTTGTGGAGTGATTCGAATCTCAAACAAGTGTTCTTGTGTTGAGATATTTGATCAACAAGAATCATTGAAGCTAGACATGATCAATCTTGCTTGTGGAGTGATTCGAATCTCAAACAAGTGTTCTTGTGTTGAGATATTTGATCAACAAGAATCATTCAAGCTAGACATGATCGATCTTGCTTGTGGAATGATTCGAATCTCAATCAAGTGTTCTTGACTTGAGATATTCGATCAACAAGGTAATCCGAATCTTATTCCCCTTGTATTGATTCCTTATCGTATCATTTGGTATCAATGATATGAACCAAGAGACATCAATCATACAATATGCTTCAATAAAGATGTGAAGAAAAGGTTGTCAAAATTATCAAAAGATGTTTCAATTCATGCTACATTGAAGAAGAATAAAGTTTGATTGTTGTAAATTTTGGGTGGGTTATAATTTAGAGTTATTGTGTTTTAAGACTTTTTATTTAATTTCGGTTACATTTACATAATGGCTAATTATGGCCATAAAGTGTGAATGTTACAACTTTTGGAATGTCTTTAATAGTTTCATTTTGAGGCTATATAAAGCCATCTATGTTGTATTTGTAATGAGACTTAGAAGATATATCAAAAGAAGCATTTGTGCTTTTCTTTAGCCAATGGCTAAGTTTCTTTGCAACTCTATGTAGTTTAGGTTGCATGTAGAATCATTCAAGCTCGATATGATCAATCTTGCTTGTGGAGTGATTCGAATCTCAAACAAAGTGTTCTTGGCTTGAGATATTCGATCGACAAGGTAATCCGAATCTTATTCCCCTTGTAGTTGATTCCTTATCTTATCATTTAGTATCAGAGCTTCAGGCTCAAGATCGGATATATGTTTCCTTTGCGTCCTTCTTTTCAATTTGTTTTTTTCTTTTTAGTTTTTAATCGACCCAAAGTTCAAAATTCAATCTTCGCTATATTTACAATTTTGAGAGGTGAGAATGAGAGCTTCATTTGTGTAAATGAGTGCAAACAGAGTGGCCTAAAATTCCTTGAGTGTATACACGTGAGAGAGTGTTGTGAGGTCCTTTGTATTTCCATAACTTATTTTTTGCAGCAAAGTTTCACAAATAGATTCGAGGACGAATCCTCTTGAAGAAGTGGAGAATGATATGAACCAAGAGACATCAATCATACAATATGCTTCAATAAAGATGTGAAGAAAAGGTTGTCAAAATTATCAAAAGATGTTTCAATTCATGCTACATTGAAGAAGAATAAAGTTTGATTGTTGTAAATTTTGGGTGGGTTATAATTTAGAGTTATTGTGTTTTAAGACTTTTTATTTAATTTCGGTTACATTTACATAATGGCTAATTATGGCCATAAAGTGTGAATGTTACAACTTTTGGAATGTCTTTAATAGTTTCATTTTGAGGCTATATAAAGCCATCTATGTTGTATTTGTAATGAGACTTAGAAGATATATCAAAAGAAGCATTTGTGCTTTTCTTTAGCCAATGGCTAAGTTTCTTTGCAACTCTATGTAGTTTAGGTTGCATGTAGAATCATTCAAGCTCGATATGATCAATCTTGCTTGTGGAGTGATTCGAATCTCAAACAAGTGTTTGAGATTACTTGATCAACAAGAATCATTGAAGCTAGACATGATCGATCTTGCTTCTGGAGTGATTCGAATCTCAAACAAAGTGTTCTTGGCTTGAGATATTCGATCGACAAGGTAATCCGAATCTTATTCCCCTTGTAGTTGATTCTTTATCTTATCAGAAGCTTAAGGCATACAAGCAACACTCAGATAATTCACCCAACACATCATAACAATCCAGCTGATTAATCTCATTCATGGAGAGCTAATTTAAGGCAAAATTACGAACATACATACATACAATCCAAGCGAACCCTACAAGTATTTCTTCCTAAATACCGGGTGGTGACTTACCTGGTTGATGCGTGCTCTTTCTGCTAGCGTTTCTTTGCCCATGAGGTGTCCAAAAATACTGATCTCTTTAAATTAGGTTCCTATTAACGTAAAAACAGCATTAGAACTGGAACCGGGACAAAAAAATTAGGCAAACAGAAAGCAACCGGGCCAAATTGGCCTTCCCACGCACGCTCACGCGCCAGCAGCGCGCTGGGAGTGTGTGGTCACGCGCGCGGGAAGGCGCCAGTCGCAGGCTGCACGCGCGCCCACCTCCGCGTAGTCGCGGGTCGGCCGGTCCGGTCGACTCGGCTCGCGTCGCAGTTCGGCCTGGCTTGCAGGCGACACGTGTCGACGCCTCGCTGGAGCTACATTGCTCCAGCCGATGGTCGACGCATGTCCGGCGCCTGTCGCCGCTCGCCGGCCGACTCCCTTTTTTTTTTTTTTTTTTTCCTTCTTTCTTCTCTGCCCTCTGAAAACCTAAACACAACCCTCTTTTCCAATTTTTATATCTTTCGATCCGTAGATCGGATTGACATGATTCCTTCGTAAAAGTTTTAGATCGTGTTACGGGCTATGTCCTCGTATTTTTTCGTAATTTTTGCTTAACTACCGGATGAGTTAAGAAGGTCGGAATTTTGCTCACCATTCTCGGACGACTCTCGGATCTCCGCCTTCGGGTTGAGGTCTCAGCCAAACTTCTTCACAGATCATGTGTAGAGTTGTTCCTAGATGAATATATCAAGATTTCAGATCTTGATTCACAAAGGAAAACCGTAGATCTGAGAAAACGTTCAAGATCCTTACCTTGCGGGTTTTTCGACTTCTTGATGAAAAATGGAACTCTGGCCACCCACATCCTCTTTTCCCTTCCAAGAAAGTCTCTCTGCATGATCTTCACCTCCTTGCATCATGATCTTCACCGGAATAGACTCCGACGGTAGTTTTCAGTGAGTCTTCCGGCGGTTCATCCTTTCTCCTCTGTCTAGGTTCTCTCTACCCCTTTCTCTCACTATCTCTCTTTTGCAGAACTATGGATGGGGTTTCGTTTGGACCCCTTAGGTGGTTGGAGGGGCAAATTTACCTATTTGCCCCTCTCGACTTTTCCTATTTTTTTTTTCTTTTTCTATTTCTATTTCTCTTTCTTCGGGTATCTTTTTCTATTTCTATTTCTCTTTCTTCGGGTATTACAAACTCTCCCCCCCTTAGAAACTTTCGTCCCTGAAAGTTGGCGTCTCTTGGAAGAGTTTGAGATAGGCCCCTCTCACGTCTTCTTTACGTTCACGGGTTGCCTCTTCATTAAGCTGGTTACTCCCCACGGGACTTTTACTAAGGTGGTCGCTCTTTCATACCAACACTTCGCGTCTTATCTCATCGATCTACTCGATAAGTGGTCTCACCTGGGATGAGGTGAGTTGTCTTGGTTGGTCTACCCCAACTATCCAAATCACGTTACGAGTCTGTTTAGTCTTTGGCAAACCCGAGACAAAACCCACACTCACTACTTCCCATTGAAGGACTGTAGCAATCTGGTTGGGCGCTATTTCGATGCCTTAACCTGCTAGCAGCATCGTCTTACGAAAACCGCCGTGTCTCTCTTCATTCCCAAGCCACCCATAGCATCTCTTCAGATAACTTCGTACATCCTAGGTGGAACGTATCAGATGTATTGTGGCTTCAGCTAAAATGTCTTTTAGGATTTCCTCGTCTCAGGGAACACCTAGGTAGTCTTGCCAGTGCAGGACCCCGTCTGAGGAGATAGAACACCTAGTTGGCTTTTCCACCCCAGTCTGACTCCACACTTTGTTAAGGTGTTCATCAGATCTCTAGGCATCAGAGACACGTTTTCATAAAGTGGGTTGCATGGTCATCTATGCTATCTTAGCGATATCACCATTAACTGCAACCCCAGTTTCTAGCATTCTTCCTTCCATCTTGTAACTTCCCTTGCTTGGTGATTATTGCAGATGTATGAACGGTCTGTGTCATTCCATCTGTACGACCAAGTACTCAAGGCTCTTTAGTCAGTGTATGCTTGCACTTTTCTCCATGCTCGTAATGTTGCCATGTCTCCATGGCAAGCACGACTGCTGCTAGTTAAAGGTCATGGGTAGGGTAATTTTGTTCGTGTTCTTTCTGCTTTCTTGAAGCGTAAGCTAACGCCTTACCATTCTGCATAAGCACGCACCCTAAGCCCTTACATGAGGCGTCTCTATACGTTACAAGGTTGTCTAGCCCAACTTGAACCGATGCAGTCACCAACCTATGCTTAAGTGCCTGAAAACTCTGGTCGCCTGCTGGTATTCGTGTAGGCGCTACAGAGATCCTGGAAATATCACGTACGAGTCTTTCGAGAGATTTCTAGAAACTTCATACCATAGTGACTGTGGTCAGTTTTGGCCACCTCATAGCTACTTCAATCTTAGCAGTGTCTACGATGCACTCTCTCCGTTTGTCACCACATAACTTCGGATGTCATCTCAGACAACCAACACCGGCACTTTGGAGATCTTAGCGCATGATCGATATGTTCATAACACCACCAAAACCTTCCTCAAGTGTTCATTGTCATATCGTCAAAGATGACTATAATGATGATAGCAAGAGAATCTCATGCACCTTCGATGTTTGTAAACTTACACTTTCTCATGACTCTGGAAGGGCTCGTCAGTAAACTCACCTTCCTCATGACTCTGGAAGGCAGTCCTCAACATGTCCCTCTCTTTGATCCTCATAGGAGGTATCCTGACCTTATTGGGACCCTTGCGGTCCTTACTGCTTCACCAAAAATGACCTCGTAATTGTATCTCATTTGGTTAACACAGGCCTTTCCTCATACGAGACGCTCCGTCACGTAGTTCACTTGAGTATTAATACTCATTTGGGCCATGTACGGGCTCTTTTGGAAGTAAGGGATCCTTGCATGAGTGCTTTGCGTTCACCTAGGCTAACTCATGCAGTATCTTTATGACTGAGCTAGTCACGTCTCCTCTCGTAATGATTTCTCATCACTGGATTTTTTTCAAGCACGTGAACCTTTCAAGTTCTTGTACCGTATTCTAGGGAACTCTCTAAAGACTCTTGTTTGGTAGCTAGTCTCCCTCAAACTTTGAGGATGCTATGTCAGTGTCTTCTCTAAGACGTATCATGTCTCTTCTAGTCTTACCTGGTTACAAGTCACCATCTCACTACCCTCTGGTGCTCTTTGGCATCCTGTTGTCTAAGAGTTCTACCTCTGTCTAAGCATGCTTCACGAGTATGGCGTCACACTCATGTGTGTAGCTAGAATCCTGCTCTTTGTAATCTGGGTGACCTATACGAGGGTAGGTTCTTACTAACACACATCTAGGTTTTCTCTCTCCAAACGGAGATAGCGTGACCATAGCTTGACCTCTTTTCCTGCTGTTCTCGACCCCGAGGTTCACCGGACTACCTTGATGGTTCCACGTCCTTTACTTTGTGAGAACGCCTATCCTGACCAAAGGATAGATTAAAGCTTGTTTTTTTTGTTTTGTTTTGTTTTTTTTTAAGGTGGTCCTAATAACCACGTGCTGCATTTAGACTTTGTCCTCTCCACCAAGGTCCAAAGCGACTTATTCTCTAGTAGGTGATCCATCAATGGAAATATCCTGCACCCCATATCCCTTTAGTGGCATTAAGCGCACATCATGCTTTTGGAAGTCCATAACTGAAACTTAGCTCGTGAAGATTCCAACTGACCTTGAAGCCATATCCTCTATAGCTTCACTCTCAATGTTGGAGAATCTTATTTCTCGACCTCCAACTTAACCAAACTCACTTATGAAATTCGTTTGCTTGAGGGGTGCATAACTCCTATAGTGGTTGTCCTTGTCTATAAGAACTTTGTCTGGGTCTACTATGTGGTTTGCCCTAAGGCATGTTCTAAATTGTCTAGGCCTACAATGTGGTCACAAAGGAGGCATGCTTGACATCTAGAATTATGGTCATGGGAGGCTGAGCCATAGGCATCCATCTCTTACTAGACCTTAGAAGGTCTGATATACATTTCTATGGGTTGGACGTCACACACTTTGCGAAGTCACCCCTTTGTCTTCCTAAGGCTAGTAAGTTATAACGTGAACCCTCTCGGCCTCCTAACAATAACTCAAATCTAACATCGACAGTAATAGAGTGAACATTCATGATTAAACACTCTAAAGCGTAATCATAGTTACCACCTTCCCAAGACAAACATCAAATTTTTACAGCCTTGCAACCACTCATATCCTACTAAACAGGGTTAGAATGCATACCTGGTCGCGGGGAGGCGTGTCGTCAAGCTGAGTCACAGAGGTGTACAACTCTCTATCCTAGAAAAAGTCTACAGAATCTAAAACCTAGCTCCGATACCAATCTGTCACGACTCGATTTTTCGAGGCTTCGAAAAATCGAATCGTGACTAAAAAGACGAAATTGAAAACAAACAAAAGGAAAATAAAAGAAAAGAAAAGCAAAGTAAAAAGATAAAAATACTATTGAATTAAAACAAAAGAGAGAAATTTTGTTTGTTAATTATTACAAAAGAAATTGCAAATATAAAATGAAATACACAGACTCTAAAAGACCGAAAAGGGACTGACCCTCCGGAACGACCCCCTCTGTGCTGTACAGCTCTCAAACGCTCCTCTACCTCGACCAGCAGCCAGCGAACACTTGAGAAAAATAAAGGAGAACGGGATGAGTATAAAAATTATACTTAGTAAGCCACCTACTTGTAGGCTCTCTTCGCATCTTAATTTAACAGAACTCCCACGATTTCCTAATTCGGTTCTAGGACATCGGGTTCTAACCTTAGTCTCTTGGGGCTTGCCCCTTGGATTTCACCGGTTCATCGTCCTTTCATTAGTCACCTAGAGGTTTCTTATGCCAAGCTAATGTGGTCGGTATCTCTCTATGAGGTGCTACCTCTACATGGCTATCTAGGACTACATGGTACCTAGCCTAGGGGTGTGCTGAGTACCCCTACGCCCACATAGTCCTCCTATGGGGGGGTGCGACCCAACCCATTCCCATGCAGCTAATGGACTGTACGACGTGGGGACACATTTCCCATGCGAAATGGCTAAGAGCAATAAGGACTGATCGGGGACCCTTGGTCCTCCCACGAAGCTATAGACACCGTTCTCACACTAGCAATCTATGAACACTCCTGAGGTACCTTGTTGCCATGGTAATCAGCTAAGTTCCTAGGGGAAAGTTAAGTCTGGCTAAAGCGACATATCGCTCCTAACGGTAACCCCCTAAGCTTATCTTAGAAATGGGCACTAGAAAATAACGGGGTGTGCATGCAACCGTCTTCTAACATCCTAATATTCATGCAAACTAAGCACGCCGGCTCAACGGGGCGATGGCCTCCATCCAGCACACAAAACATGAAGTTCGCGCTCAATGGGGCGAATTCATCCATCGAGCACCTGGAACACGGAATACACAATTCTAACATAAATTAAACGCATGCAGACGTACAACGAAAGCTTAAGGCATACAAGCAACACTCAGATAATTCACCCAACACATCATAACAATCCAGCTGATTAATCTCATTCATGGAGAGCTAATTTAAGGCAAAATTACGAACATACATACATACAATCCAAGCGAACCCTACAAGTAGTTCTTCCTAAATACCGGGTGGTGACTTACCTGGTTGATGCGTGCTCTTTCTGCTAGCGTTTCTTTGCCCATGAGGTGTCCAAAAATACTGATCTCTTTAAATTAGGTCCCTATTCACGTAAAAACAGTATTAGAACTGGAACCGGGACAAAAAATGGGGCAAACAGAAAGAAACCGGGCCAAATTGGCCGTCCCACGCACACTCACGCGCCAGCAGCGCGCTGGAAGTACGTGGTCACACGCGCGGGAAGGCGCCAGTCGCAGGCTGCACGTGCGCCTGCCATGCGCGCCCACCTCCGTGTAATCGCGGGTCGGCCAGTCCAGTCGTCGTGGTTCGGCCCGACTTGCAGGCGACACGTGTCGACGCCTCGCTGGAGCTGCGTTGTTCCAGCCGATGGTCGACGCATGTCCGGCGCCTTTCGCTGCTGTCCGCCGCTCGCCGGCCGACTCCCTTTTTTTTTTTCCTTCCTTCTTCTTTCTTCTCTGCCCTCTGAAAACCGAAACACAACCCTCTTTTTCGATTTTTATATCATTCGATTCGTAAATCGGATCGACATAATTCCTTCGGCAAAGTTTTAGATCGTGTTACGGGCTATGTCCTCGTATTTTTTCGTAATTTTTGCTTAACTACCGGATGAGTTAAGAAGGTTGGAATTTCGCTCACCATTCTCGGACGACTCTCGGATCTCCGCCTTCGGGTTGAGGTCTCGGCCAAACTTCTTCACAGATCATGCGTAGAGTTGTTCCTAGATGAATATATCAAGATTTCAGATCTTGATTCATAAAGGAAAACCGTAGATCTGAGAAAATGTTCAAGATCCTTACCTTGCGGGTTTTCCAACTTCTTGATGAAAAATGGAACTCTGGCCACCCACATCCTCTTTTCCCTTCCAAGAAAGTCTCTCTGCATGATCTTCACCTCCTTGCATCATGATCTTCACCGGAATAGACTCCGACGGTAGTTTTCAGTGAGTCTTCCGACGGTTCATCCTTTCTCCTCTGTCTAGGTTCTCTCTACCCCTTTCTCTCACTATCTCTCTTTTGCAGGACTATGGATGGGGTTTCGTTTGGACCCCTTAGGTGGTTGGAGGGGCAAATTTACCTATTTGCCCCTCTCGACTTTTCCTATTTTTTTTTCTTTTTCTATTTCTATTTCTCTTTCTTCGGGTATTACAGTAAGACTGTGAGAGCTAAGTTCTTGTGATCATAATTTCTTTGCACCGCCATTTGACAGGGATGCTGGTATTTCTTTGCACTACCATCTGTTGGGAAGGTATAATATTTTCTGCATCCTTTTGTTCCCCTTTCTGAATAATTATTACTTATTTATAGTTATTTATTTATTTATTTTTAATAATTAATTAGTGTTGATGTGCACCGTGTCACAATCGCACTCTTGATGGCAGCGGACTTACGATTGTGCGGCACTCACTTTCTAACGACAAGTGAGCTAAGCCAATTCGTTCTTACGTTGCCTACGGTCAAGCGTTGTATGCTTGAGCCTTTGGCCTCGGTTTAAGAGAAGGTTTTAGAAAACGAGGGCAGAGAGAGATTTTCGAAAGAGAGATTTTGAAAGAGACGTTATATAAGCAAGCAAGAGAGTAACAACAACGGCTCACAGTATATAACCTTGGGTAGGGAGAAGTTGACAACTATCCCCCTATAGTACATTCTAAGGCATTTCATGTCTAGCAGGCCTAGACATAATTTTTTCGAAACGTCATACTCCCTAGAAATACAAAAGTAAAACACTAGAACATGGAAAGACATAAAGGGTTTGGCTTGATATGGGCGTGCGGCTATGGGCAACACGCATTGGACGAGCATGACCGTGACATCTCCTCCTCCACCTAGTTGGTTGACGTCTCTGTCAACCGACTACTTTCAAACCTGGCGATGTGGGTGGCGGCGGGGTCCAGATATTCGGCGCGTTCCTAGCTGGTTTCCTCCGTAGGGATTCATCCATTTGACAAGGAATTCACGAATCTTCCGTACAGGTCTCCCTATCTTCCTAACCTTGTTGGCTAGGATCTCCTCTATTTCTTTGGTGTCTCTTTGTTTTAGATCGATGCACGGTGATTACATTTCGCTGGTCGTCGTCTAGGTCAGGGTGATAGGGCTTCAAGTTCCTCACATGAATTACTAGGTGGATTTTCATCCATGTGGGTAGCGCAACTCTGTAGGAGGTAGCCCCAATCTTTTTAAGGACTTCAACCAGGCCTTCATATTTTCGAACTAGTCTCACATTCTTTCGGCTGCGGAATCTGATCTGTTCTTCTTAACTTGATGAGGACTTGGTCTCCTACTCGAAATTGGAGGGGGCGACGCTTCTTGTCCTCCCACTTCTTCATAGACTTGGAAGCTTTCTCCAAATATGTCTGGGCTATATCTGTTGTCTGCTTCCAGTCTCTTGGGAAGTTTTGAGCTTGAGGGTTTTTTCCTGCACAAGGATGATCAATAATATAGGGCAAGGTCAGCTGCTGTCCACTTACAATTTCACAGGAGCTCTTTCCCATAGACGAACTCGTTTGCCAATTGAAACAGAATTGGGCGACATCTAGCAGTTGTATCCAGTTATTCTGGAGAGCGTCGACGAAGTGACATAAGTATTCTTCGAGCAAGCAGTTGAACCATTCCGTCTGTCCATCTGTTTGAGGATGATAGCTCGAGGAGATGTTTAAAGTCGTTCCCTAGAAGACGAATAACTCGGTCTAGAATGTGCCAATGAATTTACCATCCCTATCGCTGATGATGCTCGATGGAATGCCCCATAACTTTACAATGTGTTTGAAAAATAGTTGAGCTGTTAGTTCAGATGAGCATAATTTGGGAGTGGGGACGAACGCTGCATATTTCGAGAATTGGTCTACGATAACCAAGATGGCGTCATATTCCCTGACTTTTGGGAGGTGTTATGAAGTCCAGAGACACACTTTCCCAAGCCCTTGTTGGCACAGGTAGAGGTTCTAAGAGTCTCGAGACTTTGGCTTTCTCGACTTTGTCCTGTTGGCAGATGAAGCACGTCTTGGTGTACTGCATGATGTCGTCCCGCATATTTGGCCAGAAGTACCCCTTTTTGTTTAGGACATATGTTCATTGCCACCCAGGGTGTCTGGCCCATAAAGTATCATGACATTCCTGAATGAGCTTCTTCCTCAGTTCTCCTATTCTTGGGACGTATAATCTGTTTCCTTTTGTCATTAGAAGGTCTCCTTCGACCCAAAACTGTCGTGTCTTCTCAGCTTTGGCTAGGTCGACGACGGCTTTGGCCGATCGGTCTTTATGTAAATGTTTTTTTGATGATGTCGCGCATTGATCCATCAATCTTAATTGAGTGAATATGGGCTAACATGCACAGGGTCGCATGTTCGCCCTTTCGACTCAGTACGTCGGTTGCTTGGTTACTCTTTCCTGCCTTGTGTTCAAATTTCAAGTCGAATTCAGCCAACGACTCT